GCTCCAGCACTTACTCGCCTGGTTTCACCTGGCGCTCCTAGTTGTTCTCGTTTTTCACTGCAGCCTGCCGCTCCTGCACCCTGCTAGCTTTCATCATGGAGTCCACTAGGGTTCTCCAGCAGCAGGGACAGCGGCAGCGACCTTTTCAGTAGTGGCTTCCGCAGCAGCAGGGGCCCCCTCAGCAGCTGTGGCGCCCTTAGCAGGCGTGGGGGCCCGGTGGTTCAGGTCGCGTTGGCTGCAGCAGCGGCCCAGCCAGCTGGGGGGCTCGTCGCGGTGGCCGCGACGTCGGCCCCTGCCAGTACCGGATCTTGACCGGCCCTGGTGCTGGCACTAACTGCTGGCGTCCTGACCACTCTGCACAGCGCTGCTATAGCCGCCTCGACGACCTTTACCGTGAGCGTTTTGTGCCTGAGTCGGCTCCCCCGATCTGGCCCGGTCTGTTTCGTAGTGGTTTCCCTGTGTTTGATATGTCTATGGATGCTGTTTATTCTGTCACGTACGGATCTCTTGGCTTACGTGTACCTAGCTTAGGACCTTTGCCTGTTGCTAGTGTCGGTACTTGTGCTTTTAGTGTAGGTGCTTGTGTAGTCACTAGCCCAGCCGTGACGACTCCTGTTGCGTCGCTCTCCTTCACGCTGGACTCCGGCGCGTCTCAGTGTTTCTTCCGCGACCACACCACTGTCACACCTCTTTCGGCTCCAGTCCCAGTTGCCCTGGCTGATCCTACTTCAGGACCAGCAGTTGCTCGCAGCTCGACCACCCTTCCGTGCCCGGCTCTCCCCTCTGGTTTCCTCACTGGTCTCTACATCCCCTCGTTCTCTTGGAACTTGGTGGGTGTTGGATACCTTCAGGACCGGGGGATCACAGTCACTTTTCCTGCGCACGGGAGGATTGTGATCTGTACGGACTCTTCCACCGGGGCAGTTCTTGCCACGTTCACCAGAGAGCCCCACTCAGGTCTCTTCGTCCTGCACACTCCGCCCCCGCAGGTAGCTGCGTCTGGTTGGGTTGCTTCGTCCCCCTCGGTAGCAAAGTCCGGTCAGGTGGCTGTGTCCAGTCCGGTCGCTGTGTCCAGTCCAGTCGTTGCGTCTTGCTCCTGTCGCTCTCTCGCCCACCGCACTGTCCTGTGGCACCACCGTCTTGGCCACCCGTCGATCCCTCGCCTTCGTGGCATGCTCAGTCAGGGACTAGTCACAGGTCTCCCTCGCACCTTCCCGTCGCTCCCTCCCTCGCTTGCCCCTCCCTGCTCTCCGTGCGTCGCCGGTCGCTTACGCGCCACTCCCCACTCCTCCTCCCTTTGTCCGGCCACCGCTCCCTTCGAGACTCTCCACTTGGACGCCTGGGGCCCTGCCCCAACGAAGGGGTCTGGGAGGGAGCGTTACTTTCTGGTGGTCGTCGACGACTTCTCCAGGTACACCACCGTGTTCCCTCTTGCGAAGAAGTCCGAGGTGACTGCTACGCTGATCAGGTGGCTTCTAGCCACTGAGGGCACTCGTGGTCGTTGAGTCAGTTGTCTTCACTCCGACCGTGGAGGCGAGTTTCGCTCCGGCATTCTCGGCGGATTCTGCGGCGAACAGGGCATCACCCAGTCCTGGACGCTGCCAGAGTCCCCACAGCAGAATGGGGTTGCTGAGCGCCGCATAGGCTTGGTCATGGACATCGCCCGCACGTCCATGATCCATGCCCGTGCGCCCCATTTTCTGTGGCCTCACGCGGTTCGCTACACCGCACACCAGCTGAACCTCCAGCCGCGTGTCTCGCGGTCCGAGTCTTCACCGACCAGTCTTTGGACTGGTTCCCCTAGTGTTGGGTCGGCCTTTCGAGTCTGGGGCTGCCTTGCACTTGTTCGCGACACCTCCGCGGACAAGCTCTCGGCACGCGCCGTCCCCTGTGTCTTCCTTGGTTTCCCAGTGGACTCTGCCGGCTGGTCCTTTTACCACCCGCCCCTCCACCAGTTCCTAGACTCCCGTGATGTCCGGTTTGACGAGTCTATGTCCTACTACACCCGGTACCCCTGTCGAGGTCTCCCGGTACCCCCTCCCCCCCTGTTCCTAGCACCCTCTCCTCCTCCTGCTCCTGCTCCTCCGGTACCCCCTCCCCCCCCCTGGTCCTGCCCCGTCTGGTGTGTCCCACGCTACCCCTCTACCCTCGGTCGCGTGTCAGGTAGCGTCTCCCTCCCCGCAGTCCTCCTCACGGTCCCCTCAGCAGCCTTCGGCACTTCCGCGACAGGTTACTGTAGACTCGGTTGGTGTTGGAGCTGGAGGTGCAGCCGCTGGTGGTGCTCGGTCTGGGGGTGCTCGATCGCGAGGTGCTGGAGCTGGAGGTGCTGGCGCAGGTGGCGCAGGCTCTGGGGGTGCTGGAGTTGGCGGTGCTGGCACTGGCGGTGCTAGTTCTGGGGGTGTTGGAGTTGGAGGTCTTGGCACTGGAGGTGCTGGTTCTGGGGGTGCTGAGTCTAAGGAGACTGACGCTGGAGACCCTGGTTCTGCAGAGTCCACTCCGCCTCCCCACCGCCACGACACGCGTCTCCAGGCTGCCCGTCGGCGTGAGCGTAAGGAGCAGGAGCGGTTGGAGAGGGAGCGGCAGGAGCTGCGGGTGCTGGACCTTCTGGAGCAGCAGCGGCAGCAGCAGCAGCAACACCAGCAGCAGCAACCGCGGCCGCAGCCGCAGCAGCAGCAGCCACAGCCGCAGCAGCAGCAGCTGTCGTTTATACTAACACAATAGGAATGGGTAGTTAGGAATAGTTCGGCCTAGGCTTGGTAGCCTAGGCCAAGGAGGATCGAGTTGGTCGTGCCAAGGGTGTCGAGAGAATTGGGAAAATGTATGTTCACTATAGATTTGCAATCACATATATGCAAGTGAACAAAGGTGCACCACCTAACACAGTTTGTAATAACTACACTAACTACAGCTACAGGCAGTTACAAATATAAACTCTGACACTCCCCCATAACTGCCTGCAGCAGGAGTTTGTGCAGAACACAACCTGCAGGGGTACACAAATAGCAGTAGCAGCAGGTAGGTAGGTAGGTAGTACAGCAGCAAAGGTACAGCAAGAATTCCTGCTATCTCCTTACCCTCCCCCTCCCCTTCCCCCTCCCCCCCACACTGCTGCAGAAGCAGCAAAGGGGGGGAGAGAGGAGAGGTGGAGGGACGGCTGCTGGACGATCTCACACCTGCCACCCCAGTGCCACTCCTCCAGCTTCCCCACACCCTCACACCCTCCCCCCAACGGCAACTGTAGCAGCGGGAAAGAAAGGAGGAGGAGGGAAAGGGAAGTTGGTCTCACACCCGCCACCCCAGTGCCACTCCCCCAGCTCCCCCACACCCTCACACCCTCCCCCCAGCGGCAGCTGCAGCAGTGGGAAAGAAAGGAGGAGGAGGGGAAGGGAAGCATACCACCCGTCACCCCAACACCCGCCACCCCCATATCCTCCCCCCCACGGCTGGAGGGAAACGAAGGAGGAGGGGGTGGGCGGGGAGAAAGCCGCAGAGCGGCTACTGATGGTTGGCGCGGGTAGGTCAGGGGCGGCTTCAGGGAGTGTAGGTGCGGGGTGAGGTAGTGGCGGCTGCACCGAGTGCAGGAGCGAGGTGGTGCAGGGGCGGCTGCAGCAAATGCAGGCGCTAGCGAGACACCGCCGAGTGCGCCAGGGGCGGGTACGCGGCGGCTCAGGTAGGTAGGCAGGTAGTGCACCGTCGCACGCCACGGGGCGCACGACGGGCTGGGCACCGTCGCGTGCCACGGGGCGCACGACGGGCAGGGCACCGTCGTGTGCCACGGGGCGCGCGACGGGCATTGCAGGTAGGCAGGTAGTTTAGTTCCCCGTCGCACGCCACGGGGCGCACGACGGGTAGGGTAGATGTCACTCGCCATCCGAGGGCGGGACATTTAATGAAAATCGGAACGCGACCTAGGCGCGCGACCGGAAAAGAACTGCAGCGGAAGCATACGGCGGGCCCACAGGCCAGGACGAAACTAGCTCTGATAGCATGTCGTTTATACTAACACAATAGGAATGGGTAGTTAGGAATAGTTCGGCCTAGGCTTGGTAGCCTAGGCCAAGGAGGATCGAGTTGGTCGTGCCAAGGGTGTCGAGAGAATTGGGAAAATGTATGTTCACTATAGATTTGCAATCACATATATGCAAGTGAACAAAGGTGCACCACCTAACACAGTTTGTAATAACTACACTAACTACAGCTACAGGCAGTTACAAATATAAACTCTGACAGCAGCCGCAGTCGCCGCTGCAGCACCAGCAGCCACAGCCGCCACCGCAGCTTCCTCTGGAGCGGCAGTTGTTCCCACCTGTGAGTGGCCTGCGGGCCCTTGGCCTTTCCTCCTCTCCTCCTGTCCGCTCCCAGTCTCCTCCTGTGTTTGTTCCTCCGTTGCCTCCTCCTGACGTCCGTCCGGCGGTCTGGTCTTCTCCTCCTCCTCGGTCTCCTCCTCACTCTGTCCGTCACGACTTGATCACTCGTTGTCCTCCGCGTGCTCATCACTCGTCCCCTGTTACTGACCTCCACACTGCCCTCTTTTGTTCGTCCAGTCGTCGTTCTTGTTCTCCTGTGTCCGTTCTCCCGTCTCCTCCTCCGTCCTCTCTCCCAGCCCTCCCCACTCATATAATTGACTACTACCGCACTATTCGTCCTGTTGCCGCACGTGTCCTCGCCACTCTTGTCACTGACTCTCGTTTCCCTCCGTCGTCTGCCTCGGCTCTTACTGTCGCTGTCGCTGAGTTTGCTGCCGCCAGCCGCCTTGACTATGCCACCCGGGTGGTGCCAGCTCCTCCCTACCATCCTCTGTCCGTCGGGGGTGGGTTTGCCCTTGGCTGTGACGTCCTAGAGGACAGAGAGTCTGAGCTGGAGTACTGGGCAGCCGCTTCTCCCTCTGTGTGTGCCATGCTGCTCTCCCCTGAGGGAGACCCCGCGCCCTTGACATACTGAATCGTCGCACTTACCGCGAGGCAGTGTCAGGGGCGTGGGCCTCTCAGTGGAAAGCAGCTATGGACTCAGAGTTGGCGTCTTGGAGATCCACAGGCACCTACTTCGACGCAGTTCCCCCTCCCAGGGCGAACGTAGTCGATGGCATGTGGCTCTTCAAGGTGAAGCGGCCGCCTGGAGCACCGCCGGTGTTCAAGGCGCGCTATGTGGCTAGGGGCTTCAGTCAGCGTGAGGGAGTTGACTTCTTCCAGACCTTCGCCCCGACCCCGAAGATGACTACTCTTCGGGTGTTACTCCACATAGCAGCGCAGCAAGACTACGAGCTGCATTCCCTCGACTTCTCCACTGCGTTCCTCCAGGGCCGACTGCACGAGGAGATCTGGCTGCGCTATCCTCCTGGCTTTACTGACACCTTCCCACCTGGGACCCAGTGGAGCCTGAGGCGACCAGTCTACGGTCTCCGCCAGTCGCCCCGTGAGTGGCACGACACTCTTCGCTCCACGCTTCGTGACCTTGGGTTCAGCCCGTCCTCCGCCGACCCGTCGCTGTTTGTTCGAGCGGGTTCTACTCCTTTCTTTATCCTTGTCTACGTCGACGACTTGGTGTTTGCTACAGCTGACAGGGCAGCCCTGGCTCAGGTGAAGTCCGAACTGCAGAAGAGACACAAGTGCACTGACCTGGGTGAGCTGCAGCGCTACCTTGGCCTGAAGATCACCCGGGACAGAGCCGCTCGCACCATCACACTGACGCAGTCACACATGGTGCAGCAGGTCCTTCGGCGGTTCGACTTCCAGTTCTGCACCACACATCCCACTCCTCTTGCTGTTGACCACAGACTCACGGGCCCCTTTCCTGACGAGCCCTTCGAGTCCAGTGGACCCTACGCAGAGCTGGTGGGCTGCCTCATGTACCTGATGACTTGTACTCGACCGGACGTCGCCTTTCCCCTCAGCATCCTTTCTCGCTTTGTTGCGACTGGGAGACACCGCCATGTCCACTAGACAGCTGCTGTGAGGGTGGCAAAGTACTTGGCGACTACATCAGGCATGGGGCTTGTGCTTGGAGGGACTCAGCCAGTGGCGTTGACTGGTCACTACGACTCTTCCTACGTTGACGACGTGGAGACTCAGCGCTCGACTCAGGGTTACTGCTTCAGTCTGGGAGCTGGTGCTGTGTCGTGGAGGTCTACACGGTCGTCGTTTGTGGCTATTTCCAGTGCAGAGGCAGAGATCTACGCTGGTGCCATGGCGGCACAGGAGCTTCGCTGGTTGACCTTCTTACTCGCCGACCTTGGTGAGCGGCCTCACTCTGCACCGACCTTGTAAGCTGACAACAAGGCCATGATCCTCCTGTGTCGAGAGCCTTGACTGGAGAGCAGAGTGAAGCATATTGACGTGAGGTACTTCCTTCTGCGAGAGCTGCAGCGACGCGGCCAGGCACGCCTGGACTTTGTGGCCTCAAAGGCCAACACTGCAGACGTCTTCACCAAGGCCTTGGCGCTTGGTGATCACCACAGGTTCTGTGTGCAGTTGGGGCTTGTTGAGGTAGGCCCTCGGTTGCTGTAGTCTTGTTGTTTGCTCTACATGTTGTGCTTCCTATTTATATCCTAGTGAACTCTTGAACTGGCCTTGTGGCCACTTGCTTGCGCTCGGAATTTGTGTGGTGTCCTTGAGATCCACCCTGAGCTTGCCTTGTCTCTTGCTTTGACTGGTCTTGTGACCGTTTGTTCACCTTGCTTGCTTTGATGCCCCTCACTTAGCCTATGGGGGTGTGTCAAATGTAATTCTATGCTTGTAGGCTACAGTGAGTAGCACAATAGGGAGTACAGTTGTTAGGGTTGCATATTTGTACTTCCACACTTCCTAGTTTCATCCATTCCGTTCCATTCCTATTCTGAGACTTTCGTACTCTTGTCCCGATACTAGTTTGCGTTCAACTTGAACCCAGTCAACTATGATACATCCCGAGCCCGTCGAATCGAGCCAGATCGATTTGACTCGGATGTAGAAATTGTCAGAATGTTCTTATCTAGCCTGTAGTGGGGTGCTCTATAGCGAGTACAACCCTGTTAGGGTTTGCTATTTGTATCCCCATTCTTGCTAGTCAAGCCCTCTTTCTTTCTTCTAATTTTGTCATGCTATCAGAGCAGGTCGATCCCCTTGGATCGATCCTGTGGGTGGGTTACCACCACCTCGTTGCTTCCGCTGCAACTTCCACTGCTACTCTCTGTGCCGCACGCCCCGTGGCGTGCGGCAGTTTTTCTTCCCGACGTGCGCCCCGAGGCGCGCGGCGGTTTTCTGCCCGCCGTGCGCCCTGAGGCGCGCGGCGGTTCTCTGCCCGCTGTGCGCCCCGAGGCGCGCGGCGGGCTTCTTCCTCGTCGCTCGGCGCATCGCCCTCGGGAGGCGCTGCGACAGGCGACGGGGACCCGCGCGCCGGCCCGTCGACGCCCGTGCGCCGCTGCCCCGGCCCGTCGACGCCCGTGCGCCGCTGCCCCGGCCCGTCGCCGCCCGTGCGCCGCCCGTCCCGGCCCCGCGCAGCTGCTCCGGCCCGTCGACGCCCGTGCGCCGCTGCCCCGGCTCGTCGACGCCCGTGCGCCGCTGCCCCGGCCCGTCGCTGCCCGTGCGCCGCCCGTCCCGGCCCCGCGCAGCTGCTCCGGCCCGTCGCCGCCCGTGCGCCGCCAGCCCCGGCCCGTCGCCGCCCGTGCGCCGCTGTCCCGGCCCCACACCGCCCGTGCGCCGCCAGTCCCGGCCCCGGCCCCACCTGCGGCCCCCCCCCCCCCCCTTTTTCCCGTCGCCTGTCGAGGCGACCCTCGGGGGCCGCTTGCGGAAGGGGGGCGAGCGCCGCCCCCCCTTCTGCTGCCTGTCTTGGCGCCCTGGGCGGCCGCGCGTCGGTTCCCCCCCCCCCCCCCCCCCGTAACCTCCCTACCCGCCATCCCGCCCTGCCTGAGTTAGGGTTTGGGGAGTGGCGAGTAGGGGGTGACGAGTATGGGGGTGGCGGGTGTGTGGTCTCCCCTGCTCCTCCTCCTCCTCTGTCTCCCACTTCTGCAGCTGCCGCTGAGGGGGGTGGGTGTGTGGGAGTCGCTGGAGTCGTGCTAGGGGGTGGGGTGTGAGTGACCCTAGGGGTCCAGTAGGGGGTGTGTGCAAGGGGGGGTGAGACTGTTTGGGGAGCTGAATGAAGGATGCCGCTGTGTCGTTAGCAGCACCTGTAGTCCGGGGGCTTCGTCCGGTAGCTCAGTTGTAGCCAGCTGTGCCAGCCGCCCGTGGGTCCGTTGCTCGTCTGCCGCTACTTTAGCCGCGGGGCCAGTTACCCCTGTAGTCCGGGGGCTTCGTCCGGTAGCCGCTGTGCCAGTCTGCCTCCTGTTGCCCGTGTGTCTGCAGCTTCATCCGTCGCCTCCTATCTCCTTTCCTCTCACTCTCGCCTCCTCCTCCTCACTTGCCCTCTGCGATAGCCTCTAGCTTAGCTCATAATTCTTAACTTTAAACTATTGCTTCTTGAACTTGTGCTCAGAATGTGTGGTGTCATTGTGATCCACCCTGAGCTTGTACTGCTTTGCTTGCTCTGCTGATTACACCCCACTTTGGCTATGGGGGTGTGTCAGAATGTTCTTATCTAGCATGTAGTGGGGTGCTCTATAGCGAGTACAACCCTGCTAGGGTTTGCTATTTGTATCCCCATTCTTGCTAGTCAAGCCCTCTTTCTTTCTTCTAATTTTGTCAGAAATTTGCGCAATGTGGGTTGCGCATATGCTGTTTGAAATTCACATGTTTGAAGCTCGCAATCGAGCTCCAACTCTCTCTTATTTCAACTCCTCCCCTCTCCAACTTTACCATATCGGCCTAGTTTGCGGACTTCAAACTGTATGAATGATGTGAGAATGAAAACGAGGAATGATTGCATTGAGCAGCATGAGGAGTACAAGTAGGAAACCCTAAAGTGTTGTACCCCATATTGACTACCCCACTACAGCCTAAACAGACTATAGCAGATATAGTTTGACACACCCCCATAGGCAAAGTGGGGAAGAACAAGGGGTCACAAGACCAGTCAAGAGAAGCAAGGCAAGCCCAGGGTGGATCACAACGTCACCACACAATCTGAGCACAAGCACAAAGCCACAAGGCCAGTTCACAAGCAGAGTTATACATCAAGAAGAACAAGCAAGGCAGTGATCACAACCTAGTAAGAGTATGCATGCAAGTGCAGGTATATATAGATCACAGTACAAGCAAAGTCAAGAGGTGAGCAAGTGAGGCCAAGTAGGCACAAGACCTAGCAAAGTACACAGGCGCTGATGATCATAGGGCGGAAGTGCCTTGGTAAAGATATCAGCAGTGTTGGCATCATAGGCCACGTAAGCAAGGCGCAGCTGACCCCGCTGCTGCAGCTCACGAGCAAGGAAGTAGCGAAGAGCAATGTGCTTCGTTCTGTGCTCCAGTCTGTGCTCCCGACACAAGGTCAGCATGGCCTTGTTGTCCTCGTACAGAACTAGAGGAGAACGAGGCTGCTCTCCAAGGTCAGTCACCAGGTAGGTGAGCCAGCGTAGCTCCTGTGCAGCCATGGCCCCAGCGTAGATCTCGGCCTCACAACTGGAGCCGAGAACAGAAGACGAGCGGGTAGACCGCCACGAGACAGAGCCGGAACCAAGGCTGAAGGTGTAACCCTGTGACGACCGCTGCGTAGCCTGGTCGTCAGCCCAAGAAGCGTCTGCGTGACCAGTGAGGACCACTGGACGTCGCCCTCCAAGCACTAGCCCCATGCCCGACGTACTGCACAAGTAGCGCAAAACCCTCTTCGCTGCAGCCATGTGCTCTGGTCGGTGTCTCCCAGGAGCAACATAGCGTGCCAAGATGCTAAGAGGGTATGCAAGGTCAGGTCGTGTGCAGGTCATCAGGTACATGAGGTAGCCAACAAGCTCTGGGTACGGGCCACTCGGCTCTACGGACTCATCCGAAGGCAGAGCTGAGAGCGAGTGGCGAGTAGACAAAGGAGTGGCCTGAGACGAGGAGTACGTGAAGTCGAAGCGCTGAAGGACCTGCTGCACCATGTGTGACTGAGTCAAGGTAATGGTGCGCTGTGCTCTGTCCCGAGTGATCAGCAAGCCAAGGTAGCTGCGCATTTCACCCAGGTCTGTGCACGTGTGTCTCTTCTGCAGCTCGAACTTCACGTAGGCGAGTCCAGCAGTGTCAGCAGTGGCAAAGACCAAGTCGTCGACGTACACGAGGATGTAGAACGGCGGCAAAGAGGTGTCGGTGCGTAGACGGGTTGGCTGTAGAAGGAGCAAACCCAAGAGCCGCAAGTGTAGTCCTCAGTGTGTCGTGCCACTCACGGGGCGCCTGGCGGAGACCGTAGACTGGCCGCCGGAGGCTCCACTGGGTACCAGGAGGAAACGACCAAGTGAAGCCAGGAGGGCGGCGCAGCCAGATCTCCTCGTGCAGGCTGCCCTGCAGGAAAGTTGTGCTGAAGTCAAGAGAGTGAAGCTCGTAGTCGCGCTGAGCGGCTATGTGCAGCAGCACCCGAAGAGTGGTCATCTTTGGGGTGGGGGAGAAGGTCTGAAAGTAGTCAACTCCCTTCCGCCGACTGAAGCCTCGAGCCACGTAACGCGCCTTGAAGACAGGCGGAGAACCCGGCGGCCGCTTCACCCTGAAAATCCACATGCCACTGACGATGTTCGCCCCAGGTGGGGGAACCTCGTCGACGCAGGTGCCTGTGGACTTCCAGGAAGCCATCTCTGCGTCCATGGCTGACTGAGAGGAGTAGGGACACTCGATCGCCTCAGCGTACGATCGAGGAGTCAGGATGTCTGGTGCATCCGGGTCTCCCTCAGGGGCAATCAGCGTGGACACGAGGTGAGGCAAAGCAGCAGCAAAACACTGGAACTCCTCCTGCCTGTCCTCAAGGACGTCCGTGCTAAGAGCACACTCACCCCCGATGGACGGAGGACAGACAGACTCAGACTCAGCAACGAGACTAGCAGCGTAGTCTAGACGACAGCGAGCAGCAAAGTCGACCAGCTTAGCCACTAAGGCAGACGCAGCAGTGGACTCAAAAGAAGGGTCAGTGACAACAGTAGCCAGGAGACGTGTTAGAGTAGGACTGACAGCATGAAGGGAGTCAGACTCAGGGTCAGCAAGAGTAGGAAGAGAGGACTCTGGAGGAGACGGCAACGGGACACGCAGAGGAGCAGTGGAAGGACGCAGTGCCATCTGGTGTGTGGCGGGGACCGCAAGAGGACGCGGACGCGAAGCACGACCACTAGTGCGAGCAGCACAAATAGGCGACGCAGGACGAGACGCATGCTCACGACACTCAGCAAGACCTCCAGTAG